AAGAAAGATTATAAGCCAATTTCATTAATAAGCATAAATGCAAAGCTCCTAAGTAAAGTTCAGCAAAACAAATCAGCACTGTAGGTTTTCAAAGTGACTAAGCTAGGGTTTGTTCCCCTCAGCAATGCAAGAGTAATTTACGATGAGAAAATCTAAACATTGTCATTTGCCACATTGACAAGTTAAAGAATAAGAGCCATAAGACTTAGAAACTAGGTAATACACCTTTCTCAAGAGATGCCTAAAAATTATACAACAAAGTTACTCATGCACACAAACAGAAATTACCATAAAATAGGCATAGAAATTCTTAAGCTGATTCCTCAAGTTATCTACCAAAACCTACCCCCCCAAAATCATACTAAATTGGGAAAAATTAAAAGCATTTTCTTGGAAATTAGGAATAAGACAAGGATGCCTACTATTCTGCACCTGTTTAATACAGCCTTGGCTAGTGCAGTAAGTCAAGAAGAGTACATCGGAAAGATGAAAACAGAGCTATAATCATTTGCATATTTTATGATTATCCTACATAGAAAGTCTAAAATAATCTGCAACAAATAAAAAATAAATTTCAGCGGAGCTGCAGAATATAAGACCAACATACAATAATAATAATTTTGTTCCCGTGCGCCAACAGTAGTTAGAAAACAAGAGATACGTGCAACACGTTTAACTAACAAAACAGCAAGTACCTAGAACACAGTGAAAAGAAGATTGATAAAAAGCAAGCAACCCAACCAAAACATTGGACAAGGTACATGAGCAGGCATTTCACAGAAAAGGAAACCTGTCAGGCCATAAAGCTATAGAACGATTCTCAACCTCACTAGGAATCAGGATATGCAAATAAAATTAACATTTCACATCCACCTGATTGGCAAACATTTTAAAAATCTGACAGTACCAAGTATTGTGGAGCAACAAGAATTTTCTCCTCCTATTGATGGGAACATTAAATTAGTCCAACTTTGGAGAGCAGTTTGGTAATATCTAGCATTTCCGTTCCCAGGCGCATACCCCGAGGAGTCACTTTCACAAGGCAATACAGAAAAGGGTCCCTGTATCAGAATTATTTGTGTTGAGGAAAATTGGAAATAACCAAAAGTCTCCCAACAGAGAATATGAATTAATCACGAAATATTCATACAAAGAATTCTATATGCAGCAGTTAAAACAAAAACAAAACTGCATGTACCAACATGGATGAATCTCAAAAAACAAAGTACTGAGGGGAAAAAAAAGCAAGGTGCAGAAGGATGCATATACACTACGATACCATTTGTATTAAGTTAAAATATGCTAAACAGTATTACATGTTGTTTATGGGAACATACACAAGGAAAAGTATACAAATATTCTGGCAACGGTATGTGCCAGTTTGGGTGTACTGGATGCCTCTGACGAGACAGGGAAGGGACTAGGGTTAGGGAGAAACACATTTCAGAAGATATTCGACTGTGTCTGTAATATTCTATTTCAAAAATAAAATCTGAAGTAAATATAGCAGAACAATGGGTACACTGATGTTTATTGTACTATTCTCATGCAATTTCCCATACACTTGAAATGTTTTATTTAAAACATGAATAACTTTAAAACTTCAGAAAAGACTTTATCTTAATGACCAGTAAAATTCCTAATAAATACTAAGACTTCAGTACAATTTAGCCATAAAAATTGTCAAAATTCTAAATGTGAAATATAAATATCTCAGTTTTAAATATGTATCCATATTATCAAAAAATAAAACAGCTATCTAGACATAAATTGATCACAGGGTAAAAAAATACATAAATATATGCACATGAGTATATTGGAAAGGAGCATTAAAAAATTAACAAACTTATAAGCTAGAAGGGTTTGGGGTGAAATTCTCCTTTTTTTATTTTGACTTATTGAATGAAATGTTGACTATGAACAAGCAAGTCTCCAATGAAGACATACAAATGGCCAATAGGCACATGAAAAAATGCTCAATATCACTAATTATCAGAAAAATGAAAATCAAAACTGCAATGAGATATCACCTCACACCAGTCAGAATGGCCATCATTCAAAAGCCCACAAATGACAAATGCTGGAGAGGCTGTGGAGAAAAGGGGACCCTCCTGCACTGCTGGTGGGAATGCAGTTTGGTGCAGCCACTGTGGAAACCAATATGGAGAGTCCTCAAAAGACTAGGAATAGACTTACCATATGATCGAGCAATCCCACTCCTGGGCATGTGTCCAGAGGGAACTCTAATTTGAAAAGATACATGCACCCCAGTGTTCACAGTAGCACTATGTGCAATAGCAAAGTATGGAAGCAACCTAAATGTCCATCAACAGATGACTGGATAAAGAAGTTGT